GGGGGGTCACCACAACATGAGGAACTGTATTAAAGGGTCCTGGCATTAGGAAGGTTGAGAACCACCGCTTTAGAGCTTGAAAAGTCAATAATCGCCTTTCTGGTTTATGTTAGACTGGTAATGTCTATTCAACAAAAATGGTACATATTTAATATCTCAGAAGATTGACTCTCTGCTAGGAATTTTATTTAATCCTGGGAAATGGAAATTTCAGGAGCCCTAGTGGCATTGTGGGGTAGGCATTAGATTACTAACTGCAGGGGCCTTGGTTCAAATCCACCAATTGCTCCTTGGGAGAGAGATGATGTTGTACTACTCCCATTAATAGCTTAATAGATTAATAGCTCTAAAAACCGCTTGCTCTGAGCCATGTTGGAAATCATACTTAACACCTATTGCCATTGAGTCCATTTCGATTTGTAGCAACCCTATAGGACAAAGACTTGCTCCAGAAAGTTCTCCAGGTTTGACCGAAGCAGAATGGCACATCTTTCTTTCACAGAGCAGGCTGGTCTGTCTGCCTGGGCCAACTTTGATTAACAGCTGAGGGTCTAACCACTGCATCACAGGCCTTCCTTTGACATATCCAAGCACCTATTAAGGGTCACAATGTATAGAGAGAGCATTGTGATCCCCCCACCCTGATTCTAGACACTTACAAATCAAGGCACATTGTGAACTTTGCCATTATTCTGGCCATTCAGCATCTGAACTGCCTTCCTCTTAGTGATTTTCCCCTCCTTTTGTGTTTAGGAAGTAATCCCAAACCAAGCCCACTGCCTTCAAGTTCTGACTCATGACTGGCCCTGTAGGACAGAGTAGAACTGCCCCTTCTGGGATTCCAAAACTGTAGATTTTGTTGAAGCTGTTTCAACAAAATCTTTTTGAAACAAAAAGCTGTTTCTCCTTGGAGTGGCTGTTGCATTTGAACAATTAACCTTGAAGTTAGCAACCCCCCATGTGTCCCACTAACCCACCCAAGGGTCTTGTCTGGGAAGAAGAGGCACACCATCCCAGACACTTGTCCTATGCTTCTTGATAGTAAATATGCAGACATATGAACTGAACTTCATCATTCTGATCCACCAGTGCTAGCTTTTGACTTTGGAGCTAGTAATGAAATCAAACACTCCCAAAACAGTCAACCCTAGAAATGATAGCGTTGGCTCATTCTATAATTCAGCTGTAGTGGTGACTGTAAAGTGCTTGGTGTCCAACCCCCAGCAGTGCTAGGAGGGGTGGCTGCTCTTAGATCTGATTCCCTATGGAAAGTCACCCCGTATCTTTTAAATTAACCCATCCGATATAAAAATCAACAGAAAGGAATGCTGTTCTTAGAGAAAATGTATGTATATAAAATATCCGTGTACACACATACATATTTATAGTTCTTTTTATAAAAAAGGAATTATATGAGGGTAAGCAAAAATATATTGCCATTTGAAAGGGGACTTAAGAGATCAACTATTGGTTACCCACCCCCTTTTTTTAGAGCAAAAAAGAATGATCTCAGAGATACACAGAACAATTAGTCCAATGCATGAATGGGACACACCAGCCTAAGTCTCCGTGATCCTGGAAGCAAAAGTCCCAGATGGTGCCTGGCTACCACGACCAGCGGCTCTGAGAGCGATCACGTTAGAAGGTGCTGGGAGAAAAATGTGGAACAAAACTCAAATAATAAAAAAAAGGTCAGGCTTACTGATCAGATAGAAACTGCTGAACCCCGGACAGTACAGCCCTCAGTCAATCTTTAGGCCTGGAGCTGAACTCATCACGACTCAATTTTCAAACAGACAGGTCTGTAGGTGGAACAGTAACATCAGGGAGGTAAGGACTCCTCACGACAATCGACTATTTGAGACCTAAAGGCCACCATTTACCCAAAGACAAGTTTAATGGGTAAAGAAAAAAGGAGGAATGGAAACAAGAAACACAAGGAAGAAGTAGGATAAGTTATGTTATATTGTGTGATTGCAATCAATGCAATGAAACAAAATGCAAATAAATTATTGAACGAACACATATTTGCTCTGTAAAGTTTCACCTAATTTACAATAAAGGTTAAAAAAATAAATAGTTGGGGGAGGGTAACAAAGGATCTGATTCCAAGGGCTCAAATAGAAAGTAAATGTTTAGAAAATGATGATGGCAACATATGCACAAATATGCTTGATACAATTGATGTGTGGAATGTTATAAGAGCTGTAAGAGCCCGTTACTAGAGTTCCGGTTCACAACATGCATAGTTTATTTCAAATAAAACCTGCTTCAACGTGTCTGTGATCAACGAATGGCGGAAGCCAGGTTCGCTCTCTGATACACTTGTCTTTGTCTCTGTAGGGTGTCTTGAAAATAAGCCCAAACAAAACAGTGACTTCCGAGGTCTCTGCCGTCAGATCAGTTCAAGGCAGAGAGGTTGGCACAGATGTTAATGGCAACTGTCTTTGGGGAGTTCACAATCTTGAGAGATTTTCTTGGAAGACACAGGATGAATACGGGAGTTTATTAGGGAGAAATTTTTAAGAAATTTAAAATTTGTATTGGTGAGAAAAAGGCCAGGAAAATATGTCAATGAATATTTTTCCATCACAGCAATGTAGGTAAAAGAACCACAAACTTAGAAAGCACAGTGTTAGCAGAGCATTTAATCAGCGGACATTTATTAAGAGCTAATGGCGCAAGCACTGTTCTTCAAGGCCGAACTCAGAAAATTTCATTGGAAAATCTTATCCTATCCACCCCATAGCCCTGATCTCGCATTTTCAGATATCCCTGTGTTCCCAACATTCTAAGAACATGTAAGAAGAACGAGATTTGAGTCCATCGAGGGTGCCCACGCCGCCACTTTGATAGGAGTAAGAGGAAGAGTGCTGGATTCTTTGGGGGATGGTACATAATGCAAACACCGCCTTCCTAAGTACACGGATCTAGGCAAAGGAGATGTTGAGAAACCATAGCTTCACATTTGTTCTTTTTGTTTAATTCAGATGTCTTTGATTTTTGTGGCATTCTTTTTGACTCACTCTCATATATAATTATGTCCTCATGTTCTCTGAAAATGTTTCTAGCTAGCAACAGCATTGAACAATTATCCTATCTAATATTTAGATTCTCTTAATATTTTGTTTTCATACCACTGCATAGATAATTGGTTTCGCTATTTATACTATATATGTCAAGTACCATATATACTATACTATATATTTAGTACCAAAGATTATGGCATGTAAGTCCTTGGCCATACGTCTGATTATTGCTGTAGGATAAACTAGTGGCAGACGACTAATTCAGGAAATGAGAAATTTTAAAGAAGTTATTTATGCAGTTGTAAAATTTGTTCTCCAGAGGTGGTTGACCCTCTTGAGCTGCTTGAAAGGGGCTTTGAATATCAAACATTGACATAAAACTTATAACCTTTGAATGCCAGACACGACAATGTTTAGAAATGAACATGGCACCTATTAACAAGACTGTACTCCTTGCCTGACATGGTTATGTGCTTTTGAAACATTAAAGCATTTGACCCTTACATTTACACACTTGTAAATACTTCCAGGGAAGAGGTGGATGCCCAAATATCTTGCTTAAGATCACATAGCTTGTACAACATGGTCCCAAGAAGCAAACATTGGCTTCCTGATTTCAAAGTTCATTTTCTCTTTATTGTACCATTTACCTCAAGAGTCTCAATCATTCTTGAGCCTTGAGGTGACTTTATGGCGGGAGAGCAGGATGAAGGGGGTTGGAAGTAGTAGAGAGTGGTGTTGCATCTTAGTTAAAAGAACTACACACGTTAAAAAGAATTACAAACTGACAAAACACAGTGCTCGCAGGGCATTTTATCCAATGAGCATTTATTCAAAGCTAGTGGTGCACCAGGCACAGTTTTGGCTTACTAGGCTAAAAAATAAAAATGATGTAACCGACTCAGTTATTAGCTTATCTGATTAAACAAATTACATTTCATAGAAATGATTACAAATTGCATTTCAGATGGAAAACAGAATATCCTTTTAGACTTATATATTAATAAGAACCCAAATGGTAAATAGAAATTAGCAAACCACCATTTATATCTTTATTTTTGGCAGCAAAGGAGAGAAACATGCTTATCATTGTGCTGAAATGGATTTCAGCATTCAATATAGATAACCTGTTTTAAAACTGCTAACATGGCCCACCTACAATCTTTTACAAATCAGTGCTCTTCATCCTTTATTAAATCATTATGGTACTTTTTTGGTGTAAAGATTAGTTTGGGTTTCAACATACATTTAATTCAGTATTTCAGTCCCGAGTCACAGATTCCTGACCTGGGGTGGGTGAGAATCACTCTAAGTAGTCGTAGGACTCAGACCAAACCAAACCAAATGGTTTAATTAAACCAAACCAGTTTAATTCACTGATATTCTTGCCAATACTGAATTGAGAAGTTAAGATACAGAGACAAGTTAGACGATAAAATAAAAGCAGGTGGGGAAAAAAAAGGTAGAAGTTATTTGTTTGAAGCAAGCCTGCTCATTAGAGTCACCTACAGCATTTCCTTTAAAGGCTGGATCTTAACAGGTACATGAAATGCCCCTTAATCTGAAGGTTAGTTATGAGGGGTCTCGAGAAAGAAAAACCCCCAAACCAAAGCCCCTGCCAATGAGTCACTTCCAACTCATAGCGACACTACGGGGCAGAGTAGAGCTGTGCTTCAGGGTTTCTGAGGCTGTAACTGTTCTGGGAACAGACTGCCTCATCTTTCCCTCAAGAAGCTCCTGGTGGGTTGGAAGCACTCTGAGCTTGTGGTTAGCTGCTAACCCTTAATCCATGGCACCAGCAAGGCTCCAGGGGAGGAAACAATGGGTAGCAAAGACTGAAAATGCATGGAGTGGAATTTGTATGTTGTCACCTACTCTGTTACTGCTGAACCATAATCACCCATAATAATCCACAGGGACGTTCTGGGACACATCCAGGAAATTGCATTCTTCGGGCAGCAGCAGTGTCTTCGGAGTGAAGGTCAACATTTATTGCACAGGAACCAAGATTCTTCTTCCGCCTCTCCCTGAGCTGGAGACCTCCACGTACAAATGTGGTTTTGGATTCCTGTTCATGAGCTCCTCTGACCAGCAGGGGGCACTCCACCAGAACGCCTGAGGAAGCACCTTCTTCAAAGGGAAGTGTGAGGTATTGTGTTGGCCTAAGCAACAAGGTTGTTCAGTCCCCATTCTCAAGCAGCTTTTGTAAGTTGTGTTGTATCTTGAAATAATGAAAGAGAAGTTCCTATTAGTAAGTGAAACGGGTTAGAATCACGTACAAAGTTGGAACCCACTCATCAGGAACCAACAAGAACAACTTCTCTACAATGCTTGCAATGAATCTGTTCTGCCTTGAAGAAAGAGTTACCACAACCACTGCCATCAGGTTGATTCCATTTCATAGCACCTAGGAAGTACTGTGCTCCGTCACCCTCCTGCCCGTTTGTTATATTATGATGGCTTGCGGATTGATGTGAAGCTGGAACCCATTCCATTGGTATTTTTAATATCAGCAAGGGCAGCAATAGTTGATAGGGTTCAGAAGAACTTGCAGATTATGACACCGCAGGCAAAAGGCCTGGTGACCTGCTTCTGAAAATGAGCCCAGGAAACGGCCTGCGTTTGGATGATATGATTTCTAATCTTTGGATCACAATCGTTGGTGTCTATCTTCCATATGGACTTAGTTGATGCCTCACTTAGATAGTTGCTTGTTTGAAGACAAGCCTTTAAGACCCCAGATGCTATTCTGTATAGCTGAGCATCATCTAGTTTCTTCATCACACTTTGCTGTAACACCTATATTTTCAGTGATCTCTTCATGAGGGCAAGCATCAAACAGGGCCATGTCATAAGAGCGAATTGTTGTAAGACTGGGGCTAGAATGAAGTGGAAACCCAAAATATATTCATGTATCTATGATTAATAAGTCTCTCGTTCACCTTAAAGACATTATTGTCATTTTATGTTAGAAAACATGAACAATCATCTCCCTGGGGTGGGAAGGATTTCTATTGATAGTGTCACTAATTTAGCCAATGGTATAAAATTTAAAACACAGTTAGAAAAGGAAATTATACAAGTATAGGCTGGCTATGAACCACAATATTTGAATTGCTAATGTACAGTGACCGGACACGATTTGAATAAAAAATGGGGGTTGGTGATAGGGCAAAACTTTCAATCATGTTCACCGACAGGGGCATCACCATGTGTACCAGTTTAATACATAACATAATAAAGCACAGTGGGCATTGAGATAATTAGTATATGGTTGTATAGTATTCACCATCCACAGGGCACCCTCAAAGCAAGAGATCTGGACCAAAGTCCAATGACTACCAGTTCTATATGCTTTGGGGTAAAGCCCAGTTCACTTTGTGAGGTTTCCACATTAGTTCTTTCTGGTGTGGCCTACGAAGAATGTTGGGCACCACAAAAGAAGAGAGTCTAAAGTCACAGTATTTTACAGCACATGGCCTGGATTACCAAGGGCTGGATAGAAAGTAGGTCAAAAGTTTCCAGGAATATTCTCCTCCTTGGGTTCTATGTAAGTATTGTTAGGCAATTTTTCCCAGTGGGAGGATGCGCCTACCCATTTTCCTACCAACAGAAAAGTACTCTGCCTCGTGTTCACGAAGCACCGATCACACCCTCTATATGTACATTTAAGAAATCATGTTGACCTCAGCTGGGGTGAAAATCAGAGCTTAAATTGTGAACACCTGGTTTGTAGAAGGCTATGGATGAGATTGGAAGCCCCAAATCCATTTGCAGTATCCACACATAGATTAAGCCTCAGGTGAATCCACCTCTGACCATAGTCCAGGGTTGGGAATAGCTTTGATATCTGACAGAGAGCATTGTGGAGTCAATTATGGTAGTTGGAGTTAGTTTAAAATGTAATATCTTTTCATTTTATCTCCCTTTTGGCCCATTTTATTTTATTTAGTCTTTTAAAAATTTTATTGAAAGATCATTTCATTGGTGGCTCTTCCAGCTCTTATAACAATCTATGCCAAAAAACCCCAATCTATGCATCAATTGCATCAAGCATATTTGTACATATGTTGCCATCATTATTTTCTAGACAATTACTTTCTATTGAGCCCTTGGTATCAGCTCTTCTCCCTCCCCACCGCCTCATGACCCCTTGGTAAATGATAAAGCATTATTATTTTTATAGCTTACACTGACCACTGTCTCCCTTCCCACACAGCTTCTGTTGGTCACCCCTCTGGAGGGGTGCGTGTGTGGTGTGTGGTTATGTGTCAATCGTTGCGATCAGCTACCCCTTTCAAACCCCCTCTTCGCACTTTCCCCCTACACCTCTGGTATCGCTAATTCCAATCCCGTTCCTGGAACTCTTCTCTGCACCTGTGCACATGCTCTGGTTTAGTCCACTGGGAAAGGCGGGACTGGGGTCATGAGAGTGGGGGGTGAGGAAGCCTCAAGGAACCAGAGGAGTATTGTGTGTTTCACTGGTGCCATACTGCACCCTGATGGACTCATCCCTTCCCTGTGACCCCTCTGTGAGGGGATGTCCCATTGCCTACAGATGGCCTTTGGGTCTCTGCTCCAGCCCCCTTTCTCAACACTATGGTTTTTTGTTTGTTTGTTTTAAAGTTGTTTTAGTTTTGCAAAAAACAAAAAAAGGGAAGAGGAGGTCTACATGGATCAAGTCTCTGGGGGAGCCCCTCTGTCCATTGCCCCGTGGTAGGAATACCCTTGACAGCAATACAGAGTGCATTGGGAAGTGGATTACTGAAGATGTAGTTAGGTTAAAAATGAACATCTTATCACTTGATCTCCCATTTGACCCATTTAATTTTGCTCTAATTTTTAATATATTCTAACTTTCTTTTTGATTGAGGTTTTTTTGCTTAACTTTATAATTATTGTTAGTTTTTGGGGGGTATGTTTCTCTTTATATAAAATCCAGCGTAGGTAAATCTATAGAGACAGTAACTGGATTAATGTTTTTTGGGAGGGCATTTGGGAGGGGAGGTTGTAGGGAATGGGAGGCTAATAACAACGAGCACAAGAAACCAAGAAAATGTTTTAAAATTATGCTGTTGATTGTACAACTCTTCTACATATAACTGAAACAGTGAATTATATGATGTGTGGATTAAGTGGCAATAAAACTTTTTAAAAAAGAAGATAGATTAAATTTTTGGGAATCAGTTGAAAATAAACAAAAAACCCACGATGGATCACAACAGATCCCTGTCTGGCTAGCTTGGCTGGCTTGCCTTGGACGCATCATCAAAGGGGAGCAATCGCTCAAGGAGGAGATCACATTTGGTGAGATGGGGAGCCAGCGAGGGCAGGGGATACTCTCAGTGAGAAAGACAGGCACCGTAGTTGTAATGACAGAGTCGAACATACCAGAGATTATGAGAATATGTGCAATTCATAAGTTTCTAGGGCTTCAGCATATGCATTTTGGCCCCAAGTCTATTCTTCAATTGATCCCGATTTGGGACGAAGGTGGTCTCCACTGGTACCACAGCCCTTTCTTGCTGAGCAGCTGAGCTCTGTCAAACTTGCATAAGACTTGTCCAGCTGTCTGCCTGTTCTGAACAAGCCCTTCTGTTTCTGTTCCTTCATTATAATATGCGATGTCCTGCTCTGGTCCCCAGCCATTGTACATCAAGAGCAGTTGCCACCTGTCTGTCAGTTGGGGCTGAGTTTGGTGGAGGTATGGGATGTAACCCAAGAATAAGGCACCCATGTGCTTCCAACCCAAAGGATACTATTTGTGAGTCAGACTGAACAGATTTGAAAGTTAATACCAACCCATTCTGGAGGGTAGCATGAAAGCCAAACAGTTGTAAGCATCTCATAAGACAAAAGCAAAGGTTCTTGCAGTTAACTTCTACTTTCTCTAGGTTGATTTTAAATTTAAAGTAGAAAAGGTTTTCCGGGTTTGCCCATAGACACAATGATTCAATAAGGATTCCTTCATGACTTGGTTTAGAACCGAAGTTTGAGAATACCGTGGTTCTCAATATTTCTGCTGTTAGATGCCAGCGAGCACTTACTACAGCAAGACCAGAGTAAATTGTACTCATTTGTATTTCATGTGTCTTCCCAATTCAACTACCCTATTATGTTCCACTTCCAGTGAGTTGCTTTTGACTCACGATGGTGATCCCATGGGAGTGTGCTAGGATAACACACTGCTAGAAAGGGGGTTTCAATGGCTGATTTCTTAGAAGCTGGTCCTCAGGTATTTCTTCTTACCACCTCTAGGTGGACTCAAATTTCCAACTTGTTAGCAGCTGAGCACACGCCCCATTGGCAACAGCAGGCTTTGTACCATGAGGTAACGCTATTAAATTCTGGGCCTTTGTGGTAGCAGATGAGTCACTAAACGTGGCCTTAAGGAGCAGGGTGAAAACAAAGTGGTTGTCAACTCTGAAGGAACAGACTTTGAAAGGAGAAGAACATAAGACATGTTATCGCAGTGTAACTTTTGGGACATTTATGGTTCTTTCTCTCCTTCACCTTCTTGACTCTCAATTGGCCTCCACCCCCCCACCCCCCGTCACTTTTTGTTATTTTGTGTTTGAAACTAGCCGAGCTCCAAGAGCACTGAGGGCCAGCTTCAATGTTCCTTTTCCTCCTTTCACAAGCACCCAGACCAGTGCTGTGATCTGATGGGAAAGGGAACTGGGGGGGGGGGGGGTGGTTTTCTCTCAATTGACCTTTTAAAAGTGACACAAGTGTGAGGATAAGCATGCCAAAGTGCCCTGTCGAAGATCCTCTCAGAGGTAAAGGTGCATCAGTAATCTTATCAACAAGGATAACATTACTTATAATCCTGTGCCTGGATTCTGGGAAGCAGTAAATCAGAGGGCGTCCAAGGACAACTGTGGAGTCAGACCGGGTTCTAACTTCAGGTCCAACTTTCCAGGAGTGTCACTGTGGGCAAGGTAACTGAGTCTGTTATCTTGATAGGATTCCACTTCCTCTTACCAACCAGGGTTGCAATCCAGATTGCATGCCCTATTTTATGTACGGCAAAAACCAGCCTGAGTTGAGTTAGGATTGGTTGGGTCAGTGGGTTTGAATCCACTCCCTCCTCTCTCCCAACACTGGGCCCCAGGGTCTGTGGCTGTCTGCCACTAGTGACTATGATACAGAAATGCTTCTAACTAAGAAAGGAAAGAGTGACCAACCAGAACATCTATTTCAAGGAAGTCAGACCTATTTCTTGGTGGGAAAAAAAAAATCTGTTTCTCATAAGGGGAAGAATTCATGCCTTTCTTGTGAGACACTGGGTTTGATTCTCTGCCAAGCGGAGCCACCATCTGTCAGTGGAAGCTCAAATGTCGCTACGATACTGAACTGAGCTTCCACCCTAGAGCAGACTAGGAAGAAAAGCCAGACAATCTTCTTCCAAAAATCAGCCAATAAAAACCTTAAGAATCACACGGGGCCAAGTTCATTGTAGATGGGGTGGTCAGGAGTTAGAGACCAACTTGGTGGCATTTAACAATATGCTTATCATATAACTCTCTAGTCCGAGCATTTAGGTTGCCACCAGCACACCAGAGGCACTTGAGTGTGCAAACCTTGACCTAGGGTGAAGGTTAGGCATTGCTGCTATTGTCTCCATGCACAGGAAGCCCATCAATCACCTTTTCCAATTTCATGATGTTAGTTGTAAGCTCTTGGCAAAGGACCTCCACATTTAACGGCATTTGTGACCCCAGGCCAGATGGTACTGTCTGTCTGTGAAAACAAAGAGGGAAGTTATCATAGGCAGGGAGGGCAAAGGAAGAAGCAGACGGAATATATTTAAAATGTATTTGAACAGAAAACCAGGCTGTAACCGAAGACAGTAGATAGGTCACTTGTTAACACCAGAGAGCTCTGTAGTAATCCACATACTCCAGGTTCAATGCTAAGGGGACTAGTTCTTTTTTTTTAAAATATCATTTTATTGACAACTCATCACAATCCACATATCCATCCATTGTGTCAAGCACATTTGTACATTTGTGCCATCATCATTCTCAAAACATTTTCTTTCTACTTGAGCCCTTGGTATCAGCTCCTCATTTTCCCTCCTCTCTCCCTGCCCCTCCTCCCTCAGGAACCCATGATAATGTATAAATTATTATTATTTTGTCATTTCTTACACTGTCCGATGTCTTCCTTCACCCACTTTTCTGTTGAAGGGGACTAGTTCTTACGTGATCAGCCCCTAGGCTATTTTTATTTAAGTGAGCATGTTGGTAGCTGGACTTCCAAATGAAAATCACACAATTATTCCGAAGCACAAGGTTTCTGAGACACCATTTACTAACCATTAACATCCTCTGTTTCCCCAGCATAGTACACATTTGCAAAAATTATTGCTCTTCTTGATCATATACAGATTTCTTCCCCCCACAAGATCAGTTATCACAAAAAACCTTTGGAAACGTTTAGGGACATTTTTATTTAATTCATCAATATTCAATTCAGTGTGACGTTTCTGTAGCTGCTTTTTCAAAACTTTTTCTACAAGTATAACTTCCTCTGACTTAGAACCCCAAAGATTGTGTTAGTTGGATGATTTTATGTCACTTAGACCCTAGTGGCTAGGGGTGGAGACAAACCTGTCAATCAAGTGGTAGCTTGATGACACCTCCTTGCGGGGTGGGGTGAGGTGGCCTTTTGTGTGAGAGTGAGGGATTTTGGGAACCGTGCTCTCTGTCACTTTGCCTGACGCATGGGCTTCAATCTAGACTAGACTTACCTGCTTCTACAACTGTGTGAGCCATTTTCATGGTATATAGTTATCTCTTTATGTGTGAGTGTGTCTAGCTATTCATCATCTACCTATCTCCTATCTATCTATCTATCTATCTATCTATCTATCTATCTATCTATCTATCTATCTATCTATCTATCATCTATCAATCTATCATCTACTTACCTACCTACCACTGGTTTTGTATCTCTAGAAAACCTAAGGTAAATGGTATTACACAGTGTCTCTCAAAGTGTGGTCTTTAGTTTGGCACCATCAATTATCACCTTGGAACTTGATAGAAATGCACCTCAGATCTACTGAATCAGAGATTGAGACCCTGGGGCCCAGTAATCAGTTTTAACAGCCCTTCAAGTGGCCATGATATGCACACAAAAGTTTGAGAAACACTGGTAGACTGGGAATCCTACAAAGACAGGATCTTTGTAGTCATATGGATCTGCATTTGAATCTTGATTCTATTGCAAGCTATAATATGTTATAATAATTACTTCTCTGAGCTTCAGTTTTTTTAGTTGTAAAATACAACAATAGCTATTTTACACAGTTATGATTAAGTATATTATAATGAGGCAAGATTTTATGTATTCATATGTGTATGTATCCATTCCAATACAATTTATAGCACATGGCAGATACTATGTAAAGAAATATCTTTACCTTTCAGATCTGGGATAAACGTATGCTTTCTCATGTGGGACAATTTATTTTATTTCAATTTCTAGACAATATATCCAAATCCTCATGTAAATGGATTTAAAGGAAAAAGCTCAGGTCTGAATAGTTGTTTATATCAGACATGTTAGACATTGTTGGGATTTACTTTTAATATTAACACAATTGTTTTTTAAAAAGTACATACTCTAAGAAATGAAATTTAAAAATGACTATTGTACATTGGTTACAATTGATGAACCAATGCTGATACATGAATAATTAATGTCTATCATTTACTTAGGGTACATCAATTATATATAAACACTGCTCTAAAAATAATGTGTATCAAAAGATTATTAAGAAAATAACTATCATGAAATAGCTTCACAGGCACAACCAATGAGTTATGAGAATTTTTATAGTGGTCAATTATTTTGCAAATGAATAAGTTAAAGAATGAAAAATGATAAAATATGCTGAGTTGCTGGAATTTCTTTTTAATGAATGCCTTTACTAAGTGCCATTTTTTTCTCTGATAAACATGTAATTTGAATACATTTTAATAAAAGGTCATGACGAAGCCTTAGGATAGCAGAGCAAGATCATACAATTAAGGCCTGCTTCTTGCCGTATTATTGGCAACACTTTTGCAACCCAAGAATTGTGCAGGGCCGGGTCACATCATTCGTTTCTTTACCCTCCCGCCTCTGGAACTCTCTGCGTAGGTCCTTAACAAAATGTCTCCTACAGAACCTGCCCTCAAGGAATGTTTGCTAAGAATCATGCTAAATTCAGGTCAAATCATACTGATGTGCATAGGAGGGAAATGATAGCACCGAGAGATTGTCTTACTCAGTATCAGGGGCGTTCACAATGGAGGTCAACGATCCCAGCTGCTCTTCCAGAGTATTAATTCTATATCTCATGTAGACGGTCGAGATGATTAGTGCAAAGACACTAGACGGGTATGAAAACGAAGACTGTCTCAGCATGTTAATGACCAGGACCTGATGTTAATAAAATAAGCTCAGAGCCAATGATGTGACTTGGAAGCAAGGCATTTTCTAAAATAACTTGAATTTGAAAAGGTCTTGTTTCAAAGCTTGCTGTCACAAAGCTAAGAGGGGACTGAAAGTCCTCTAGCCCAAATCCTTCATTTTACAAATAATGGTCATTCTAATAGGATTGTTCAAAGTTAGACCCAAGTTTGAATACCAAGCTGGTATTTCTCCTAGAGGGGGCTGCCTCTCTCTGCTCGACAGGCAGCCTGGTTCTCTTGTGATGCACAAGCATCCTGTTTTATTTGGAAAGTGGGACTATGCTCCTTGGAACAGCTCAGAATGGGGTCAGACCTTTCAGAAGAGTAACTGGTTACAGACAAGAAGCTGATGAGGAAGTTTAACAAATTGGTGCCTAAGTTCTCAGGAAAAGGTATGACATTTTAAAGTTACAGCCTCTCTCTATCCAAGGGACATGTGATAGGTGGAAAAATAAGTAATAAGGTAAACATGTCTCATAATTCACAGTGCTATTTCCTAACTAACAGTATCAACCCAGAACTTCTGCTGGATTTGGCTTTATCAGTTTCCTTTTCCACCCTCCCTTCTCACTGCCTTCTTAGATGAGAGGGGTGTGAACAGGAAAATGTAACCTGTTTTCAAAGGGAAGTGCCCAAGTGGGAGACAAAACTGTCACAGAAACTATGTGAATCACCTTAGAGACATGTGAGAGTTGCCATGTCCCTTGGCAATATTTATTTCTTTAAGAGAATTGAATCATGCAAGCCACCCTTAGTCAGTTCATTTACTTACACAACTGCATAAACTATAAGAATATGGTGGAGAGGCAGGCATTTCGGAGACTTTACTTTGTGTAATATTCCAATGCTTTCTGACTGACCTGTTGGGCATATAAACAGAGACAGTTTTAAAACCATAACACACCTACTCACCCAGCAGTACTCATATAAAGAGTGACATCCCCAGGTAAGGAAAATCAAAGTATTAACTAAAAGCTTCCAACTAGCCAATATTTACATATATAGGTAGGTAGATAATTATATTTTTTAGCCAATAATGGCAATTCCTTCTCTATTCATGTAGTAAACATTTACTGAGAATCTTCTTTGTGCCAAGCAGTGTGTTGGAGTCAATGGTGAACAATATAGACATCATTCTTGTTCTCATATTATTATAACAGATGGCTAATTATTAGAATAGTTTGGAAGTAGGAAACAATTCAATACTCTTGAGTTTTATCAGTAACTTTTGAATTATAATCTCAGAGTATTTGTGGCAGTTACATAATTTCATGTCAACTTGAAGATATATAACAGTGTAGGGGTGGTAGTCAATCTACCAATCAGGTCACAGTCTGATGGTGACTCCTTGTGGGTGTGGCCTTCTCATAAGGAGGCCCTGGGAACTTCCCCTTCTCTCTCTGCCTTCACCTTCCTGTTCACTGACCCTGATTACTACCAAGTCTTGGGAAGTTACCACCACCATCGGATCCACCCAACTTTGCACCCACCAACCTGTGCTATTCCTGCATTCTGCATCATTGCTTGTGACTCTGTGAGTCTGAAAAGGGACTTACTTGTGGACTTGAGTTGGACTGGACTGGGATGTTTTCTGGATTTATAATTACTTCTTGATAGAAAGCTCTTTCTTACACATAGATGAGTGTCACTGGATTTGTTTTTCTAGTCAACCCAGCCTAACACAGTATACAAACAGTAAAGTGACTCCCATGAAGGTTATCCACCTTTGCATTTCCAACTTTAAGGGTTGGATACTCTTTGCTGAATGAATAAATTAATTAATTTTCAAAAACCCAAGACAGGAAGGCAATCAGATACTGAACCATTAGGATCCATAAAAGTTTACAAACAGATATCCAGAAATAAAACAAAATACCACCACCAAAACAATTCCAGTTTCCTCACCATGGACAGTTAGGGTCTTTGCTTTTCCTTCAGGCATTCTGGTCACCTGGGCGTCCGCTCGAGTTGGCTTTGTTTCTCCTTTGGAGACGTTCAGAACCGTCTGGGACTCTGTCAAATGGAAATCTATGAAGGCAAAACAGGGCTAGGGAAGGCTGCTCCTCAAATAACCTCAAGCCAAATCAATTCTTTAATATGTTATAATGCCTGACAATAGAAATCGGTATTCTTAAAGACTGATTGCAGTGGTAGGGTGTTGAAAACCAATGCTCAAGCAAATAAATGCTAAATAATATAAGGTTAGTCTGTACCCCACTGATTTACAGGGGTGATTTAACTATAACAATTAATCCCATTACTTACATAAAAGGTAAGGAAATATATATATTATTTATATATAAATATATATTTCTCCCAACCACTTTAATATTTAAGAGACAGCTGTTAAATGTATATAAAGAGAAATAGATTTTCACCATATAAGTACATCCTTACCCTTGAGCATTCAAACTATTGTCTCCAGTTTTCTTTCCCAAATGGTAACTACTTAGATAAGTGCTTTTTGTTTGTTCTGTTCATTTGCTTTAAAAGGGATAGGTTGGGGATGTTTTGTGGAAGATTTAAGTTTTAGTCAAAATACAATGTTTTCCAGACCTCGAGAGTTCTCCGATTCAGGAGTCTGAGAGCCAGAACTGCTGTATCCTTCTATGTCCTTCCTTCTTTGTTGAAACACTCCATCCAAATCTGAGAATTCATCATTGAAATCCTGAAGAGAGATAGTGAAACGAAAAGAGGCCAATGATCGCACAGTAAGCAGTCAGACTGCTGGAATCTCCGGCGTTTCCACTGAGAGCATCGGACCCATAAGGTGCAGGAAAGACATATCCTATACGAGTGGGCTTGTTAGACATGGTATCCGAAGAGCCCAGCCCCTGGAAAAGGACCTGCTTGGTACAGTAGAGCATCAGTGGAAAAGAAGAACTCAGTGAGGTGGAAGGACATAATGTCGCAACAATGGCCCCAACATAACAACACTGTGAGGATGGCGCAGGGCAGGGCAGGGCCTCGGTCTGCTGTTAAAGCACCTAACAGCATTAACAATAACTAGGTCCCTCCCAGTTGATGACTTAGTACAGGAAAATGATGAAAGCTGTGTAAGGTGGACACTTGTCAGAGAAGGAAAACAAAAATATTTTCGATTGAAATGTGTTATAGAAAAGTGGCCAGAGGTATCAGCTAAGTGCCCCCTATGGAGTATACCAGCTTGCGTGATCCAAGGATTGTAAATAATAAAATCTCAAGACCACAGGAGGAGAAATAAATTCTGAGCATCTGGTTTGCAGATGGTGATAGATGACAGCGAACGTCCCAAATCCATCTGATGAGAGTGTATCCTCTCAGATTCAGCTCCCATTGCATTCCCTCAGCCCACTGATGAGTGATGTGAGCAGTCTTGCCCTCACCCAGAGTGCACTGGAGACTGGATTGCTGAAGAGATCATTAAAAAATAGCTCATGCCGTCGAGTCAATTCTGACTCAGAGCAGTCCTGTAGGACAGGGTAGAACTGCCATGTCACCATTTATTTCCCCTTTGACCTATTTTTAATGTGCTCTAGTGGCTGTTATCTTCTGCTTTCCCATAGGTTGAAGTTTTTCTGTGGTTGAGATGTTTCCCCCTTGATTTTCTCTATCTGAAATCCAGGAGAGGTAAATCTATAAAGACAATAACTAGATTAATAGTTTCTTAGGGTTATGGCAGGGAAGGTAGGCAGGTAATGGGGAGCTAATAGTAATGAATATAAGAATGAAGAAAATGTTCTAAAATTGATTGTGGTGATGATTGTACACATTTTTTAAAGTATATTTAAGCCGTTTAATTGTCTGGTATGCGAATTACATGTCAATAAAACTTTTAAAAAAAAGAAAAGTCGTAAGATTGTCCCCTATCAAAAATGGAAACCAATGACATCCGGAAAAACAAGGCACTCCTACCGAGTCCCGGTTCTCACAGGCCTCCTTAGAGGTGTGTAGACGGAACGTCAGACTTTCTGGGCAGGGAGACTTTTGTCAATGCTGAGCAATTTGTTTAAAAGAACAATTGAAAAAATTGGAATGTCGGTGAATGATGTTTCCGTTGAACAGCTAGAGACACCTCATTAGCACTTTGAATGAGAAAATGCTGCTACTGGCAATCCCAGGAAAGAGTGGACAGAAACCTCTTAATGCAACTTTGGATACGCAGGCAGAGAGACAGGTATTCCTAAAAAGGAGGATAGTTTTCATGAAAATTGTCAACAGAATGGGAAAAATGACTAGCAAATTACACTTGGAAAGTTTTAACCCTTTTCTTCCCTCAAACAAGATCAACAGAAAGTCGAATAGAGTCGGTATTATCATATTTACTTAGTAGGAGGAGCTTGAGGAGTGGGGGGAAAGGCAGAGAGGCTTCCCTTTGCAGGCTGCTGGTTCGCAAACTGCTTGAGAACTAAGGAGACCCAGCAGTGTCATGACAGCGCCCCGGTGAAGGTGCTGCCAGACTGAACTCTTCACACTTCCCTTGCCTTCCAAACGAAGAGGATCATCCTGTGCACAGATTACTCACTTTCCCCGTGAACTAGCTGGTGTTCCGTCATTTCAATTTCAGTCAAGAATTTATAGGGGAAGGAAACTTGAGCAATTAAAGTCTCTTCCATATAATAAGAATTGATTAAGTGCCCGTCACATTATAAGGCAGCATGCAGACCATGACACACATGATTGCATGTCATCCTCGTAGCTCTACTGGGGTGGGGGTTTTCCTGGGTGAAGAAGCAGAGCAGTGCCGGGCTTGCTAGAGAGACGTCACCAGCTGAGCGGAGACCAGAGGTGAAACTAGGATTTCAAGGTAGATTTAAAAAGCAAGAAAGCAGACTCACCATTGAAGCCATTTTAAAGTATATGATTCAATGATATTTAGCATATTCACAATGCCTTACACTCTTCACGACTCGCTGATTCTGGAACATTTCCTTATCCCAGAAAGAAGCTCCGTCCCACCAGCAGTCCCCGCTTCTCCCCGTTCCCAGGCCTGACAAGCACCCATCTCCTTTCTGTCCTCATGGATTCGCCTGTTTTGGACATTCTATAGAAATGTCCATACACGCCAAGAAGACGGCGTTTGGAGTCTAGTTCTGTTTTTACTCTGAATGCCTCCAACGTTCATCTATGTTGTAGCGTGTATTTCATTCCTTTTACGGACGAACAGTATTCCACTGTATATACGTATCATACAGTGTTTGTCTTCGGTCAGTTGATAGAAATTAGGGTTATTAACACTGTTTGACTATTATGAATAATGCTACTATATACATTCCTGCATAACTTTTGTTTAAGCGTATGTTTTAAATCCCATTGTTTAAAAAATTTTTTTGTTTTGTTGTTGAATCCCATTACTTTTAAACAACCCTGAAAAGGTCTCTAAATGTTGAAACTATGGACGTGTTCTCTTTCATCACAGATTTTTCAAGATTGAGTAATAATCATTTAAATGATATGACCAAGACTCTCTTGCACAAACATGTAATATTGCATGTGCCAATCGTATAGAAACCAGGAGAGCTACTTCTCACTGGAAGCACACTCCAGATCAACAAAGGAAGAGAATCAAGGGTTCTGTCTCCCTTTCGTTTGGACAGAGGAGCCTTTTTCTTTGAGTTATTTCTGGGTCTGCGCACATCTCTGGGGAGCTCTATGTCTTTGCAGGCCGGAACGAGTGTTGATTTTTGCTGGTATGTGTACAGCATGCGCTAGCACAGTGCCTCGAACAGGTCAGACACTGAGTAATTGGTGAGATGAATCATGTCCTACACTCCACTCGAATGGACTCGTGAATCCCTCCAAACAGCATGGAAAAGCAAATAGAGCAAAGCAATTCCCTGTCAGTCCCCTATCAAGTTTCTTTCCCAGGACAAGGCTTGAGAACCACGTCTGGCCTCCTACTAGTTCCACTTTATTAGGGCAGTGCTGTGCCTTCAACTGTGTCTCAGGTAGCATAGTGCTACCTTCCTCCTCTGAAGAATATCCCTTACAATCATCACCAGTGGGAAGCTGACTCGAAGGCAATGCGTTGGGGTTTTTTCTTTGTGTCTATGTGTGTGTGTGTGTGTGTGTGTGGTATGTGTGTCGACATTCCTCCTGCATTCTGTAAGTATGGAGAAGTGAAATTTCTCTGCATCTATAGTTAGGGAGGCAACTCACCAGAGGCAGAGATGAAGGGCGGTCTGCCCGGAAACTGTTCTCAGCAGAGGAGGGATTGGGGCTGTTACCGACACTTGTAATCTGCAATTCGTGGGATAAAGTGAAAAAGTAAATCCGATGAACTACGAAATCACAAAAAATACGAAGAGATACAGTAACTGAGGCTCGGAGAAGTCATACTCACATCTAAGTGCCCACACACAGACTTCAGTAGTTTGTAAGTCGAATCCCGGGAGAGTAAGGAGACAAACATGTACTGAAAAGCAACACAGAAGTGATTAGTTAGAGTTACTCCCCGAGACATGCCAGTAAGAGAGGCTCAGAGTTTAGCAAGGTCTATCTGTATTTCTACATTTTCAAATGACACAGACTATTCTTCCACCCCGCCCTCCAAATAGTTATAACATGTTATACTTATTGTAAGAGAAAAAGGCAATGCATTTTAAAAACACCATTAAGTCTTGAAGGAGTCATGTTTTACAACTACAATAACCACATCGTATTTAACATTTTGCGGTTTGGGTTTCTTTGTTTTCAGAGCTTTGAAGCGCAGAGTCAGCCTAAAAAGTCAGACTATATCTTCGAAAGCTCTTTCCAGAATCACCGCAGGGAGGCCTTGACCACAGAGCCCTCCTTTCCCCTTTCCAGGAGCCAGGCTGTGTCAGTTTGATGGATTCACCGGCTGGCCACTGGGCAAAGTCTAACTCACGCAGGAAAACGTCCACTGAGATGTTGAGCGCACTTATGAGTGACAGTCCATTCTTTAATTTGCGTGCTCATTCCGCTTACCCCAAGGGAGACAGTTCAAACCCACCAGCTGATCAAAGAGTGAAAATGGTGGGATCTTCTCTCAGAAAGACTTACAGCCACAGAAACGGGATGTAGACAGGGTCCCAGGAGTCAGAATCGGCTCCCGGGGGTGGGGTGGGATAGGGTCCTCTGAGTCAGACGACCGCAGTGGGTTTGTTTTTTGGTTTTCCTTTAGTTTGTCATCGTCCCTCTCATTCACCAGTGAGAAAACTCTATGTAATGTAAAAGCAAGTAATGCCTTTCAGAGGGGTAACATCTTGGGGTTTGGTATCAGACAGACCTGGTTGCAAATTTTGGCTTGAATGCCAACTAACTTGATGACATTGGGCAAATTGCTTAGCCATGTTTAACTTCAATTTTCTTAATAATTCCTATCCCTTTTAATAAATAAGTAAAAAAACATAGGCATTATGCAACAAACGATGAGGTAGAACAGAGGCACTAAACAATTACTAGGCCAACTAACTGGGGTATTCCATTATTATAGAATTTCCCAATTCACTGTTAGGGATGCTGACGACATTGATGGTTTAGGGTTCGTCCTTGGCAAGAGGCCACGAGGCACAGAGGAGGAGAACAAAGCCAGGGCAGTCTTGCTCTGCGGGTACTCACCCTGTCAGTGACTGTCGCTATAATCAGGGCATTTGGCACCAGAAGGGCAGTTTTGGTTTTCTTTATTAGGGTGACTGAGAAAGCCGGAATGGAGATCTGAAACAGAATCATCGAGTCAGCTCTGGTTCAGTTTCATAGAAATGTATTTTAAATTCTCGTGTTACACTTTAATTTGAATGAAGATAGATAACTAATCAAAGCTCGCCGAAAGTGCTTCGGTTTCCACAAAAATACCTAAGTCTTACAGAGTGGCATGGGGTGTGTCACTGAGCTCCTCCCACTGAGCTCCTGCAAAGCCACAGGTTCAATTCGGGGCCATCATTCTACTGGCAAGACTTGATAGGAAACATTTATTTTTAAATAGACATAGAGATAGAATGCAAAATTAACATTTTAAAAAAAATCTAAGTTTAAGATGCTAAAAGAATTTCCTGCTGTAGTCACCCACTCTACGTAACTCCTGTGTCCTCCCTCTCTCTGTTCTTAGGCACATCTGGGCAGCGAAAACACCAAGACACACTCGTGGATCGACCGCTCATTCATTGGACAGAAAGTCTGGTACTTGAATTCTCAGCTCTGCCCCGTTACTCCCTGTATGACCACTGTCTAAGGTATCCTGGTGGTGCTATAGGGTAGGTGTGGGCTGTTAACCACAAGGGCAAATGTTCAAACCCACCAGCCACCCTGTGGGAGAAAGATGAGACTTTCACAGAAAGATTTATATGAAGAAACCCTCGATAGGGTCGTTATGAGTCAGAACTGACTTGATGATATTGGGTCTGGTCTTATATTTTAAGGGACCCTGGTGCATAGTGGGTTAGGTATTGGACTGCTACCTGCAAGGTCACCAAGTTCAAACCCACGAGCTGCTCTGCAAGGGAAATGGGAGGATTTCTACTCCTGTAAAGATTGACAGCCTCGGGAACCCATGTGCGCAGTTGTGCTCTGTGTTCAGGGTTGCTATGACTAGACGGCATGGATGTTTTGAGGCCTCAGCTTTCCGGTTTGTGAAATAGCGTTAACTTTATCTACTTTCCGTGATTGTGTGCCGACTGAAATGTTCTGTGGAAAATGCCTGGCACTCATTAAAATTTCATTCATTTCTTCATGTGTTTCATATAATTATGCATGAAATAAAAGAACTGCTAAGTTCTTTTCAGGTTCAAATAATGAATAGCAAAAATGATAACTGCAGCATCTCCCATTACCAGTTCTCATTTACCAGATGAGAATGTAATTTCAATGATGGCAATCTGATGAAGTAGGCATAGAAGGAAATTTGTTTAGAGAGGTACATACTATGCTGAAGGTCATACATAGAAGGAGTTATGCAGATAGAATTTGAGCTTACTTGTTCCTATTGTGGATTCTTTGCAATATAATACGTTACAAGAGTATATCAGATATCACAAAACATAATGGAAGTTCTTGATACTTGAAAAAAATTTTTCTTATGGTTTGGGTGAGAAGTTCAAAGAGCAAATTAGTTTCCCATTTAACAATTGGTCCACATTTTGTTCCACGCCATTACTTGACATCTCTCAGTGTGACAGCCCTCTTCCTCCGTCCTGTCTCTGTTTCCATTTGCACTTCTCTTCTGTCCCTTCCTGCCTTTGAGACTTTGTTTTTGGGCAAATGTTGCACACATTCTGAAATAGATCAACATCCCCAAAGAAGAAAAGGGTCTTCCACAGTCACAGTGCAGATTGGCAGATGAAAAATGAAGGTTTTTTTCCCCACCTCGTGGTGTTTTCTTCCACAATTCTTTTTAAAATATTTTTTTCAAAACCATTTTATTTTGAGCTAATTCAGATATTTTATTCCATAGTTCCATTACATCAAGAAGTATTGTATAATTGCTACCACAGTCAGTTTCAAAATATTCTCTTCCTTCTTGAACTTGATATCAGCTCCCCTTTATGACCCCATCCTCACTTTAACCCCGTCCCCAGGAACCCTGAGACACTTGCTATCCTATAGGCTCATCAATCCCGGGTTTCTTAATTCATTCATTCATTTATTTTATTTTAAAAATAATTTTATTGGGGGCTCCTACAGCCCTTATAACAATCTGCACATCCATTGTATTGAGTACGTTTGTACACATGTGGCCATCATCATTTTCAAAACATTTTCTTTCTACTTGTGCCCTTGGTATCAGCTCCTCACTTTATTCCCTCCTTCTCCCACCCTCATGAACCCTAGATAAATGATAAACTGTTATTATTTTCATATCTTACACCGTCCACTGTCTCCTTTGACCCATGTTTCTCTTGTTCCTAACCCTGGGAGAGGGGGGTGTTATATGTGGGTCATTGCAATCAGCTACCCTTTCCTCCCCTTTTCTCCCCCCACCTTCCGTGTACCCCATGGTATCACTACTCCATTACTGCTCCTGAGGGGTTTATCTGTCCTGGATTCTGTGTGTTGAGAGCTGTGATCTGTACCAGTGTACATGCTCTGGTCTAGCCAGATTTGTAAGGTAGACTGGAGTCATGATAGTGGGCGGGTGGAAGCATTAAAAACTAGAGGAAGGTTGTATATTTTGTTTGTGGTATGCTGCACCCTGGCTGACTCATCCCTTTCTTGTGACCCTTCTGTGAGGGGATGTCCAATTGTCTACAGATGGGCTTTGGATCTCCACACTGCCCCCTGCTCCCTGTTCACATTGATATGATTGCTTTGGGTCTTATGAAAAACGAGCTTTTAATGTTGAATTTTGCATTAACACTTGGGCTAATTAGATGGGATTGTTCTACTATCTCAAAGTTCTTATCAGGGATAGCAGGAATAATGAGATACTAATCCAGGGTAGACATTACAAAAGCAAAGCAAAACAAAAACTACTTTGTCAGAGAACAACACCCACAACAATGTTATAGGGTGAGAGGCAATAAATGGGGGGTGAGGAAGGAAACCCATGAAAAACGTAAGACACTCAAAACAGAAGCTATACAATGAGTCTCTGGCTGTTTCTAAGGAGGGACACAAAACACAGTGACAAGGGGTCGTAAATTAGGACTTTTCCCCCCTCATAATCCAAGACATGGAACACCCTGAAGAAGGTGTTCTCAATGAATTGCTTCATGAATGAAAAGATTATAAGTAGACAATAGACATGTAGTGAAGAGTAAGTCACTTTTCAGTTTGATCCTCGATGTAATATATGTATATGCTAACTTTTTAAACATTTGGAAATACAGCTGGGCAAAAGATCCTAATTGAATTAAAGCTACATTTTTATTAATATTTTCCAGAGATAGGCTGCTTAGAAATTCCTTTTTCCTAGAACAATTTTAAGTGCTTTCAGTTCGAAGTGGATTATGTTTAATTTACATCAGTTGACAGTGAGAAAATACTGTAACAGATCTGAATTATAAGTCTTCTCAATTTTGTCCTTAGATTTTTCAGTCTCTTACTTTTGTAGATTATTCATCTCTTCACAAGACTAATTATTTGTTCATGAATATCTTTACCCCTGCTGCTCTGGTCTGAGGAGTAATCGCTCTTTGAATCCCTGAGAGTTATCTTCACGATAAACTAGAGATCAGTACTATTCAGCCCTCCTCTCCACTCTTTGGACCAACTTTATAATGTAGAAGTCGAGAACTGTGGAACAATACTGTTTCATATTGCTTCACAGTATACTGATTCAAACAATACTGTGGATCCAAATAAGCTTTAAGTAGAAATAATACAAAAGTACCATGCTTGATTTAAAGAATGACAGCCAATCTGATTATCCAACCCTAAAGAAATCAAGAATTTCCATTATATTTGTTAAGTGGTCTTATAGAAGATTGTCAGTGGCTATAGGAATAGCATTTAGTCAAAATACAGCTACCAATCCACACAAAACATTCTGTTGGCTGTTATTATGCCAAAAAATCTAAAGCTTGTCAGGAATCAGAACAACGGGAAACTCACTAATTGTCATGGGGACCCCAAGCAGGGGCTTTTCAGGCTTTTCTGTGACCTGTATGAGCCAGAATATCAGTGGGTGGAGCCATCTTTTTTCTTCTTATGCCAGTATCTACAGGAACTCATTTTAAGAGGTGGTGTCTAGGGAAGGCGATCAATTCCCTTAGGTTCTTCCTATTGCTCAGCACTTCATGCACTGCCCTTCCTGCAACGCTGTTTTCAATGAATAGATGTCATAGCAGAGTCTCCTCGGGATTGCAGGTCTGTGACTACGGAAGACTAGGCCTTCTATGCGCTAGTGCGGCTCACTTTGCGCTAGTACAAAGTACTCTTTGTGCCAGTGTTCTTAAGTGCTTAGCCATAGGCCTATTTCCCTGCATGCCTCTAATGTTAACTTGCACGATGAAGTTATTATTCTCACACATGCACACCTATGTTTACTGGAACAATTTCCATGATAGCAAAACATCAACACAACCAAAAACCCTGATTCCAGAGGAATGGATAAAGGAACTCTAGGACCTTCATGCAGCGGAATATAACGCATCAATAAAAAACAGTGACAGCTCTGTGAAACACCACCAGGCACGGACAAAACAGGGGATCATTATCTTAGCAAAGTTATTCAATCTTATAAAGAGAAATGTTTATTATAAATATTTACATGTATCCGTTATAAGGAAAATAGAGTAAAAGAAATGTGGGTTTTACACCAAAAGATAAGTCTTTGAGGACAATGAGGAGGCCAGGGATGGGGGGCGGGAACAGGGAGAGGGGAGCTATAGGAACGTGTAGAGGGAGGAAAAAGCAAGTGCACGACATTGGTGGGAGGGTTTAATGAGGTATGACTAAGGATTTTATTCATTGAGATGGGCGCTGTAACTATATGGAATGTGTTTCTATAAATTAGAAAACAAACAAACAGACAAAGACTGTGAAGGCTCACCACCTTAATAAAACCCTCCAGATCCCTCACCTCCTGGACCGAAGTATTGGTCTGAGTGGCTGAAACAGGAGGGAAGTTATACGAGTACTGAAGTGGGCTTGGAGTCTTCAGTGGTACAAGCTCATTTCAAACAGACAGGGGAAAAAAGTTAATATTTCTTCAAAAAATAGTTTTGGTTTTCCTGTATGTCTTCGACTTACATTATAGCCCCTTCTCCAGGTAAACCACTTAAAATGTCCTCTGGTGACAGCTGGGTAAAGTAATGAGGACTGTGGCTGTGGAAAGGTATATGTGGAGGAGGGATGCGTGAGGGCGTGATGTTCGCTGGGGGTGGGGTGGGGTGGATTAGTGCCACCTGGAGGCATTTAGAATCCGTCAGAATCGACTCGATGGTAGTGAGAGTTGAGTTCACGTTTGCGACTACCACACAGGGAACCGGCATGAAACTATAATGATGAATTGCATTTATCTATAACATAGTCCCCATGACCACCGCATTCACAAACAAAACAAAACCAAACCTCCTGGAGAAAGCCCAATGCACTGTGTATACTCAAGTATAAGCCTCCCCGAACATCAGCCGAGGCACCTAATTTTACCACAAAAACTGGATAAAAATGTGCTGAAAAACTTGGCGTATACTCTAGTATACACAGTACTTAAAAACAATATCTACAATCTGAAATAATTTAGTTTGTTTAAAAATTTCAAACTTACAGGGGAAAAAAAGTTAATATTTCGTCAGTGTTAGTTTGTTTTCAAACTTGATACCCACCTTCGTATCTTTTCCAAAGACTTTCGAATGAAAACAAATCCAGTTTTCAGATACAAAGAGCTTGCCTTGGTACAGTATTTCTTTCTGTAGAGCACAGGTAAAGCCTGGGAAACATAGACAGGTATGGCATAATTTAAAATTTCCACTAAATGAAAACGTTCACATACAGAGATGGGGCGAGCCAGTGCACTGCTCTCCCCCCCTTCAGTCTTCTTTAGTGGATGAGAGCAGCCAAGACTAGTTTGCTCTTTAATTCAAAATCTTAACAACTTCCTAGGAAAATCAAAACGGAAAGGCAAGTCTATCATTCTAGGGCAGAGATCAAGAATGGCGTTTCCAAAAATATCCTCTCTTTAGGAAGAGGTTTCACCCCTGCCCCTCTCTTCCTGAGATTCTCCCTAATGGCTCCTTATGAAATAAGTGGTCACAGCGGGGGAGGAGCACACCGTCCTCTTTGGAGGGCAGGGCAGGAATTCAGTAACTCTGAAGATGCTGAGAGAGGCCCCTTGCTGAACTACTGCAGGGCAGAGTAGGTGCTTAACTGGTGTTTGGGTCTGAGCACTATACCTTGAGATTGCAGGTACCCAACACATGTCTGTCCACTGACATTCGTGTTCCCTTTTAGTTTTCTTCTAGGTGGTCCAGGAGCTACGTGAACTATTTGGCTTAAGTTGGTAGTTCAACGTCCCAGCAAGCCATTCCATGAGAGAAAGACGTAGCAGCCGGTTTCCAGAAATATTTGGAAATGCGATGGGGAGTCTTTCTCTGTCCTACGTCAAGATGAGTGAGCACGGACTCCTGGCAAGGGGATTGGTAGTGGCCTCCTGCGCCCCAGGACTGCTCTCTTAAAACCCAATTCGATCACATATATCTCAACAATGAATTTTGAAGGCAATGGTGTCATTCTGGAACCACCTTAAATTATTCCAGCTCCTATGGAGTTTCTCATCCACAGCCCTTTCTCATTCTACTCTTAGCTTTGATGGCTCTGAGCGAGCGCTGTGTGAAAGGGCGTTATGTTGACATCAGCAACTTGTTCTCCTGGGTCACTCAATCCTGTGCCCTCCTTCTCCCCACAAAGCAGATAGCACCTTTGAAACCATGCAGCTGAAAAGAAGTCAAAAAGGTCAGAACTTACTTTGCCTCAGTGGTTCCTCAGTGGGGACGTCAAGAAACAACTTGTGAAAGTGCATATTGGCCTTGTACTACAAGGAGAACAAAATACAGGCATTACTGTTCTCACTTGTTTCTGAAACATCCCAAATGTTCATTTCAACTCGAATCACCAACTTTCCCCGTTCCCCCTTAATAGTATACTCAGGAATCCCTTCTCTCCGAACACAGTCTCCAAGGACTCCTGGAAACCAGTGGAAGGCAGGGCAGAGAGGGGGCGGTGCATCCTCCAGTTTGACTGGGGAGGTGATGATTGGACATCCAGCTACACGGACAACAGAGCTGGTGGAGGCCCAGGGCTGAACAAGAATGTCCCTGATAGGAAACCAGCTCAAATTCAAGGTAGTCCCACAGGGCAGGGAGTAGTTCCCAGGGCAGCAAAGACCCAAGGGAGGCAGAGGAGTACAGTCATTAAAACTTCACACTTGGACAAATCTGAGTTTAAGGCTTGGTTGTACCTCTTACTGGGAAAAAGAAGAAGCCTGTACAGTCTCGGAAACCCACGGGGGCAGTTCTACCCTGCCCTATAGGCTCCCTTTGAGTTGGCCTGGACTTGATGATGGTGAGGGAGAATGCGCATCTCTTACTTGATGTGCAATCATGGCCCAGCCACGTAACTCAGTTTCCTCGTTGTGTGTGAGAGGGCAAAAACAATGCTTGCTTCACAGCTGTAAGGCTTATAAGAGAGCACACGTCTAAAGGACCGATATTCTGGGACTACATCTGGTAATGACGACGGCTACTGTGATGCCATTTCCTTAGAGGGAGATGCCCAGGAAGGCCAGAAAGGTTTCCCACCAAAGATGAACTCTGCGGGGCAGTAAAAGACCCACGCCTCGGAAAGGGTGCCATCACTTCTCAGTTAAGGCATCTCTTTCCACACGGACAACAGATACACAGATGGAAATTTACAGTTTATGAAAAATGCTTTCACAAACATTGTCCTCTCAATAACCCTGTGAACCTGACGTCCCCCTTCCAAGAAGGAGGACCCAGGTCTCAGGGACACTGGCGGGCTGAACGGGCACCGCACAGTGATTGTGAATAGGGCCTCCTCCCACAGCACCGCTCCTGCTCATAGGACACTGTTGATGGCAACGACTTACAAGGAAAATACCCGAAAGAGATAAACACAGAGTGGTAAGCACAAATATACCCTTGGTGTGTTATCTAAAGTACCAGCAGTCTTAGCAGAAAACTGGCCTATTATTGCCATAAAACACAGCTACAGCGCAGGTGATTCAGACGACAGGTGGCCCTTGTGAGCAGCTATTCCACAGATGCACACCTTCTGTTGACAGAGTTAATGCTGGCTATTTATGGAACACAGTTTCACCCAGAGAGTGGATTTCACTAAAATGAGGTGTTCTAGGCTTTACTGAGATTCTGTTCTTAATGGCACAGTGAGCACTTGTTTGCATACTTGATTAATTAAAAAATTATCCCAGGCCATGATATTGCACTATCAATATAGTAAGAGTTTTTAAAGAGAAATTGGAAGGGGGGTTGGGTAGCACGAAGTGGGGGAATGGTGTGGACAGCAAACTAATTAAACTGAAACACCAAACAAATACAGGGTAATTTTAACTGTGTCCTGAAGAGGAAAAGGAACTTTAATAAAGAACATGTGTTCCTGGAAGAATAGTGGAAACTTGAATGTATGTCCTATATC